AGGACAGAAGTTATTGTCCAAGGTTGGGAGGTGTGAAAGCTAGTTGTTGTTTTATTATCCCATCCCAAAGGAAAGCTTCACCGGCGTTAGTCCTTTGATGTAGATGGCTGGTGGTGCACACAAGTAACTTGGTATCTGGAGGCAAGGTACTGAGCAACACAAAGACCTGGACACTGGGGAGATGATGCAACTTCTTAGCAAGTAAACAGCCAAACATAGGAGGACAAATTCTACAGGTCAAGACTTTTCATACTCCTTATGGAGAAAAGACAACCTCCTGAGGTTCAAGTTCTGGACGGAGGCTCAGCTTCTGTGAAAAAGGCCATCTATGTCAAACAGGAGCAACCATCACTGATAGGGGTGGAGGCCTTCGATACCCTCTGTCTTCCACATATAATGCCAATTTACCATCTCTACTGTCAGGACCAAGATCTGAACCTGGGACCTCTGCTGTGTCTGGCAGTAATTCTCCTTATTGAACTACCTGAGATGCTGGATAGCTCCTTTCTGACCTTTTAGACCAGTGGTCTCCAAATTGTGGCCCTGGGGCTAGATGTAGCCCTTTGCTTGCCTCTATCCGGCCCTTGAGGCACTATTTTATCCACAACTGACAAGTGCCGGGGCACCATTCCTCCCACTGACACCAATGGTGGGCACCATTCCTCCCACTGACACCAATGGTGGGGCACCATTCCTCCCACTGACACCAATGGTGGGGCACCATTCCTCCCATGACACCAATGGTGGGGCACCATTCCTCCCACTGACACCAATGGTGGGGCACCATTCCTCCCACTGACACCAATGGTGGGGCACCATTCCTCCCACTGACACCAATGGTGGGGCACCATTCCTCCCACTGACACACTGGTGGGGCCATTCCTCCCACTGACACCAATGGTGGGGCACCATTCCTCCCACTGACACCAATGGTGGGGCACCATTCCTCCCACTGACACCAATGGTGGGACACCATTTCTCCCACTGACACCAATGGTGGGGCATTATTCCTCCCACTGACACCAATGGTGGGGCACTATTCCTCCCACTGACACCAATGGTGGGACACCATTCCTCCCACTGACACCAATGATGGGGCACTATTCCTCCCACTGGCACCAATGATTGGACACTATTCCTTCCACAAACACTAATGATGTCAACAACGGGGCATTATTTACTCCCACTGATACCAGGTCGTTTTTCACTCCCACTTGCCAGAGTCTGGCCCCTGTAAAGTCTGAAGGTAAAAAAACTGGCCCTGTCTTTAGAAAGTTTGGAGACCCCTGCTTTAGCCAATCTTGCCTTGTACCTTGTTTTTGGTCATCTTTGAACTCTTTACTCCTCCCATGAACTTCCTACCTAAGCCACGTCTCTGCAGTTCCTGTTTTCCAGATTATTATGCTCTCTCCAGCCAATATCTCACTTTTGTCTCTCCTGCTGCCGTCTTCATCTTTGATACCCTTCTTTACCGACTTTTTGCTTCTTCCTTAACTACGCTTCTGCTTGATCCCAACCTGCGACTACTTGTTACCTTCCTTTGGCTCGTTTACTGACTACGCTTCCCCTTGATCCCAACCTGTGACTACTTGTTACCTTCCTTTGGCTCGTTTACTGATGACGCTTCTGCTTGATCCCAACCTGTGACTACTTGTTACCGACCTTTGGCTCGTTTACTGACTACGCTTCTGCTTGATCCCAACCTGCGACTACTTGTTACCGTCCTGTGGCTTGTTTACTGACTAAGCTTCCCCTTGATCTCAACCTGCGACTACTTGTTACTGACCTTTGGCTCGTTTACTGACTACGCTTCCGCTTGATCCCAACCTGTGACTACTTGTTACCTTCCTTTGGCTCGTTTACTGACTACGCTTCCGCCTTGATCCCAACCTGCGACTACTTGTTACCTTCCTTTGGCTCGTTTACTGACTACGCTTCCGCTTGATCCCAACCTGCGACTACTTGTTACCTTCCTTTGGCTCGTTTACTGACTACGCTTCCGCTTGATCCCAACCTGCGACTACTTGTTACCTTCCTTTGGCTCGTTTACTGACTACGCTTCCGCTTGATCCCAACCTGCGACTACTTGTTACCTTCCTTTGGCTCGTTTACTGACTACGCTTCCGCTTGATCCCAACCTGCGACTACTTGTTACCGTCCTTTGGCTCGTTTACTGACTACGCTTCCGCTTGATCCCAACCTGCGACTACTTGTTACCTTCCTTTGGCTCGTTTACTGACTACGCTTCCGCTTGATCCCAACCTGCGACTACTTGTTACCGTCCTTTGGCTCGTTTACTGACTACGCTTCCGCTTGATCCCAACCTGCGACTACTTGTTACCGTCCTTTGGCTCGTTTACTGACTACGCTTCCGCTTGATCCCAACCTGCGACTACTTGTTACCGACCTTTGGCTCGTTTACTGACTACGCTTCCGCTTGATCCCAACCTGCGACTACTTGTTACCGACCCTTTGGCTCGTTTACTGACTACGCTTCCGCCTGATCCCAACCTGCGACTACTTGTTACCGACCTTTGGCTCGTTTACTGACTACGCTTTTGCCTGATCCCAACCTGCGACTACTTGTAACCGACCTTTGGCTCGTTTACTGACTACGCTTCCGCTTGATCCCAACCTGCGACTACTTGTTACCGACCTTTGGCTCGTTTACTGACTACGCTTCCGCTTGATCCCAACCTGTGACTACTTGTTACCATCCTTTGACTTGTTTACTGACTACGCTTCCGCTTGATCCCAACCTGTGACTACTTGTTACCGTCCTTTTGACTTGTTTACTGACTACGCTTCTGCGTGATCCCAACCCGTTATATTTTCTACTGTACCTGGGTTTGCTCACCTCCTGGTCGGGCGACCCTGAGGACCATGACCTGGTACTAACACGCAGCAAAACCCATCTCCACCATCAGGAGCTCTGGTGTTTAGTACTTAGACCCTGCACCTTCGGGTGAGCTCCGCCAGGGTGTCCTGCTTGTATACTTGTCCTGCTGATCGGTGGGAGCCTCTCTACTATTAAAGCTTTTGGACTCCGAGCCTGACTCCTGACCGTGACATCTAAAGTGGCTTTTTGATAACAATACGCACCTTCAGCCAAGTAAATCAAAGTATTACATAGATGAAGCCTTCTGACCTCCAAGGCTGGAACTATGTAAGTATAGCATGGTGGTTCCACCATTTTCACACCTCCAATCCGGTCCTTGGACAATAACCTTTGCCTTTCCACAGGAAGGCGTGCCACCTCTGTGGATATAAATGCTGGGCTATGTTCCTGACCCTGATTCGAACTAAAGAGGTGGTTGGGGGAAGCTACAAAAGGTCAACATTACACAACAGGTCCAACTGAATGTGACTACTACTAGATAATACACAGCCATTAAAGCCCAAGCCCTTGCCGTAGGGCTGCACCCCCAAAGTAAACCTGCTTTGCCCCGTCCCCCTAGACACAAACGAGCAGGTAACCCAATGGAATGGGGGTGCAGAATCATTGCAATGGTGGGCTTTTCCTTTACCCGTAGTTCAGTTTTAGGTTTTCAATGGCATCCGGAGATCACACCGTTATGTAAAACCACCAGAGATACAAATGTACAAGTCATGGGAAGGAAGAATGCAGGAAACCCCCCCCCCCAAAACATTACTACATGATCATCCATGAACAATTCTCAGCACAATGGAAAATACCTCATTAATCTCCATTATTACACCAACGTCCAATGGTAAAAGGGCTCTGCTCCAAGTCATTGTCTTCCAATGAGATGTGTACAATCGTCTACACATTTATTCAAATTTATTCAGGCAACAGAATAAGATGAGGTTTCGGGTCAGGAAGTTGAACTTGAGAGTTTTCTCCAACTTGCGTTGTTCAGAAATCTCCGTCAATGGAAGCATTCCTAATAGGTTGAATTATTATTTTTTTTTTTGTTATAAATACAGGAAACATCTAGTAATTAGTCTGTGGTTACAGATTCCATTGTGGAAACATGCAGGTATCATCCAAATGGTTTTTAATCTCAGTGATATATATATATATATTTTCCTAAAATAGATTTCATTTTCCACGATACGTTCCTTAGATCAGGCAGAAGATTGATATGTATCCCAGTTACAGCTACAAAGTAACGTTTGGAGATGATGCGTCATTTCATACGCAGCAGCTAGAATTGCTTTATCTGAAAAATAAATAGAAACTAGAATATATAAACCTATGTGATTGCACGTTCCATGGCGGGTGGAACGGTGGAAGCCTTCATTAAAAGGTGCGTCTGTTCGTTTTGCTCGATTCGTTCAGGTTCTTGTCAAGGAAGTCGATGGAAACCTTGTGAAGTTGTGACGGGAGTGACTTTGGGTGGGGGGGCCCATGGAACACAGCCCCCTTTGGAGAGGTGGGGAGACCCCTTTCTCAGCTCCCCATATCCATATTATGTGTAAGTCACCCTGTGCCTGTTAGGGGTACAGGGTGGAATGTCCTGATATTGTGTAGACAGGTATAGGTGGGGTGGGGGGGTGTTCATTGTTTACTGCCACGAAGTCCCATTGTTCTATTGTGTCTTGCTTGGGAGCAAACTATTATGGGATGTATGTGTTTATGTGTATTGGCTTGGTGGGGGGTGTTTCCGGCAGCCCTTCCCCCTGATGGGACTGTCTGTTAGGATGTGTCTCTTGTTACTAAATGTATTGCCCCGCCCTGTGTATATATCTTGTGTCTGTTAAAATAAAGCAGTCTATTTCCTGTTTTAATACAAGCCTGGTGCTGTCTCGTCTTGTATGGTCAGCAGTGGTGGCCATGGATCTGTGTTCAGACAGGGAATCTAACGGAAATACCCTAGTGCAGTTGGGGTCCGGTTCCGTTACAGATGCTCCACGTCGTGTCCGGCTACAAGGAGTCCTATCTACAGTTAGAACCTGGTGCTCTGATATCGCAGTCTTCGAATTTCAGAAAGGCCATCGTCTCGGCAGTACAGGTCCCCGCAGGGACTCTCTGCCAGTCATCGGGCACGACTGGCTACTCCGCCGCCGCCGGCGCTGCTGGTGCTGCTGGAGCTCCCACTGCTGCTGCTGCCGCTACTGCATCGGTCTTCATAGATGGAGATCTCGATCTTTAATAGAAGGGATCAAGGAAGACACTTGTGTGATTGGTCACTCCTACCTCCACCCAGGGCCTCTGGATTTTATACACACACAGCAATACTTACTTACCTACGTTCTCCAAGAATGAATACAGCAACAGGGGTCCTCATTAGTAGGGACACAATGGAAAGGTATCAATGCAACATTTGGTATCCATTCGGAATGGACAATGGCGGAAAATAACCAGAGTGGTCTGCAAGACAGCAAAAAAAATAGGAATTTTGACTTATGCAGGCCATACATGGTTCGAACTCCGCGTATTGGGCATTGTACAGAATTACTATCATGGCGTATTGTTGACGACTAAAAGATGGGATTTCCTGGAAAATGTAATGATTTTTTTTTTTTTAAGTTTTTATGATTTAATGGCCACCCATATTGCATTTGTGCAGTGTCACGGAGCTGGTTCTCCCCCCCCCCCCATCCTCCAGGCTTGCTGCCTGCCTGAACTGCCCTGTGCTGTGCGCCCGCCCCATTGCCTGCCAGTCTTACCCATTGCCTGCCTGAACTGCCCTCTGCTGTGCGCCCAGACTTACCCATTGCCTGCCTGAACTGCCCTCTGCTGTGTGCCCGGACTTACCCAACTTACCCATTGCCTGCCAACTGCCCTCTGCTGTGTGCCCGGACTTACCCATCGCCTGCCTGAACTGCCCTCTGCTGTGCGCCCGGACTTACCCATTGCCTGCCAGTCTGCCCTCTGCTGTGTGCCCGGACTTACCCATCGCCTGCCTGAACTGCCCTCTGCTGTGCGCCCGGACTTACCCATCGCCTGCCTAAACTGCCCTCTGCTGTGCGCCCGGACTTACCCATCGCCTGCCTAAACTGCCCTCTGCTGCGCGCCCGGACTTACCCATCACCTGCCTAAACTGCCCTCTGCTGTGCGCCCGGACTTACCCATTGCCTGCCAGTCTGCCCTCTGCTGTGTGCCCGGACTTACCCATTGCCTGCCTGAGCTGCCCTCTGCTGTGTGCCCCGACTTACCCATCCTGCCTGCCTGAACTGCCCTCTGCTGTGTGCCCCGGACTTACCCATTGCCTGCCAGTCTGCCCTCTGCTGTGCCCGGACTTACCCATTGCCTGCCTGCTGCCCTCTGCTGCGCCCGGACTTACCCATTGCCCCTCTGCTGTGCACCCGGACTTACCCATCGCTGCCCTCTGCCCTGCTGTGCACCCGGACTTACCCATCGCTTGCCAGTCTGCCCTCTGCTGTGTGCCCGGACTTACCCATTGCCTGCCTGAACTGCCTCTGCTGCTGGACTTACCCATCGGCCACTTACCCTGTGCATTGCCTGCCATCGCTTGCCAGTCTGCCCTCTGCTGTGTGCCCGGACTTACCCATTGCCTGCCAGTCTGCCCTCTGCTGTGCGCCCGGACTTACCCATTGCCTGCCTGAACTGCCCTCTGCTGTGCGCCCGGACTTACCCATTGCCTGCCTGAACTGCCCTCTGCTGTGCACCCGACTTACCCATCGCCTGCCAGTCTGCCCTCTGCTGTGTGCCCGGACTTACCCATCGCCTGCCAGTCTGCCCTCTGCTGTGTGCCCGGACTTACCCATCGCCTGCCAGTCTGCCCTCTGCTGTGTGCCCGGACTTACCCATCGCCTGCCTGAACTGCCCTCTGCTGTGTTGCCTGTGTGGACTGCAACCCTCCGTGTCCAGCTCCCCGCATCCAGTAAGTGGACTAACCCCGTGCTGCCCAAAAGACTGAGCCCAATTCTCCCCAGGAACCCGAAGTCCCACGAAACTGCCACGCCCCTGTCTTACTGAACACTGTGGACTACCAGCCCCCTGTTGTTCCATATTGCCTTCCAAAGAACGTTACTGTGTTGCTGTGTCTGGTGTGGATCTGTAGACTAACGGATCTATTGTCTGTACCCCAATAAACACCGGCACGTCGGGTTCCGTGCAATCTGTCTCCGTGTGCTCTCTCCCTGCGCTCTCGGTTCGCGTGACATGCAGTATTACAGCTGCATCATTAAAGCATTTATAAAGTTTTTTTTTTTTTTTCTTAACTAAAATAGCAAACTGTCATACTTACCTGCTCTGTGCAATACTATTGGTTCTGGGGTTCTTCTGGGGTCCCGCACCGACAATCTTGGCTACTCCTCTTCCCTGTGCGCCACCATAGGAATCCGCTTCCTATAGGGGGCGCACCTGCTGGCTTGCTCCCAAGCTGGGCTGTGTGCACCCATAGACACACACAGAGTGGCTCAGTCCCACCCCCTGTTTTCTCCCCACGGGATTTGATTGACAGCAGCAGGAGCCATCTACTGTCTCTGAGCCCGTGAGAGGGGAGAGAGAGCGCTGCTGCAGATGGGCACAGCGCTGGATCAATACAGGACTACAGGGTAAGTATTTGGGGGGGGGGGGGGGGGGACAACCTGTGGAAGGTTTTTTTACCTTAATGCAGGTAACACACTAAGATACTAAAGAACCTTTTGGCATTAGAACCAATCAGGATAGCAGCCAGTGGAAAGTGTACAGTTGCAAGAAAAAGTATGTGAACCCCTTGGGATTACGTGGAGTTTTGCATGAATTGGGCATAAAATGTGCTCTGAACGTCATCTAAGTCACAACAATAGAAGAACACAGTCTGCTGAACATAATACTACACAAACATTAGATGTTGCCATGGTTTAATTGCACATAACATGTAAACATTCACAGTGCAGGGAGGAAAAAGTATGTGAGGCCCTAGCTTAATGACTTCTCCCAGAGCTAATTGGAGCCAGGAGCGAGCCAACCTTGACTCCAATCAGTGTGATGATATTGGATGTGTTGCTGACACCTGTTTTGGGTTTACTGGTTTCAAGAAGCACTGTCTGATGTGAACCATGCCTCGCAGAAAAGAGCTCTCAGAAGACCTACCATCAAGAATTGTTGACTTGCATGAAGCTGGAAAGGGTTACAAAAGTATCTCCTTGAGCCTTGATGTTCATGTGTCCACGGTAAGACAGACTGTCTACAAATGGAGAAAGTTTAGCACTGTTGCTACTCTCCCTAGGCGTGGTCGTCCTGTAAAAATGACTGCAAGAGCACAGCGCAGAATGCTGCAACTGAGGTAAAGAAGAATCCCAGAGTGTCAGCTAAAGACCTACAGAAATCTCTGGCACATGCTAACATTTTTGTTGACACATCTACAATAAGGAAAACATTAAACAAGAATGGAGTACATGGGAGGACACCACGGAGGAAGCCATTGCTGTCCAAAAAGAAGATTGCAGCACGTTTGAAGTTTGCAAAAGAGCACCTGGATATTCCACAGCACTACTGGCAGAATATACTGTGGACAGATGACACCAAGATTGAGTTGTTTGGGAAGAACACACAACACTATGTGTGGAGAAAAAAAGGCCCAGCACACCAAATTGTTACAAAACCTCATCCCCACTGTGAAACATGGCGGAGGGAGCATCATGTTTACGGGGCTGCTTTGCTGCCTCAGGGCTGGACGGATCTGTTTTGTCATTGATGGGAAAATGAATTCCAGAGTTTATCAAGACATTTTGCAGGAAAACGTACGACCATCTGTCCACCAACTGAAGCTCCGCAGAGGATGGGTGATGCAACAGGACAATGACCCAAAGCATACAAGTCATTCAACAAAACAATGGCTGCAACAGCACAGAATACGCCTTCTGGAGTGGCCCAGTCAGAGTCCTGACCTCAACCCCATTGAAATGCTGTGGCATGACCTTAAGAGAGCGATTCACACCAGACATCCCAAGAATATTGCTACACTGAAACAGTTTTGTAAAATGTGTAGGTCAAAAAATGACTCCAGATCGTTGTGCAGGTCTGATCTGCAACTACAGGAAACGTTTGGTTGAGGTTATTGCTGCCCAAAGGAGGGTCAACCAGTTATTAAGTCCAAAGGTTCACATACTTTTTCCTCCCTGCCACAGTGTGAATGTTTACATGTTATGTGCAATTAAACCATGGCAACATCTAATGTTTGTGTAGTATTATGTTCAGCAGACTGTGTTCTTCTATTGTTTACTTAGATGACGTTCAGAGCACATTTTATGCCCAATTCATGCAAAACTCCACGGAATCCCAAGGGGTTCACATACTTTTTCTTGCAACTGTAAAACAACGAACACTTACCCGACCCCGATGCAAAAAAAAAAAAAAATTGTTACAAAAAGGATACGACACGCATTCCTCGTTCTACGGGATCAGTGATTAGGAGACCTCGGGGAGCGTAGATCTTCTCATTTTGCTCTTGGATGTATTTTGAGATTTTCTTCAAAACCTTCAACACAGAAATAGAGGCTGGATGAGAATAGGAATAATACGCTGAAATTCTGAATTATCGGGGGGAACCGTGGAAGATCCGGGCAGCCAGCCGCCGGAAGTTCTGGGAATATTAATACCAGTCAATGCCGTACCAATAATAATCATACAAAATATATTATATACAATATAGAGATTACATGTGATTAATGGATTCTAATATAGACAGTTGTGTTGAAAATACTAGCCGTCAGACATCACTAACCCGGATCAATCACTGGTTTTGGTGAAATGATATTTCTACATGGCAAATAATTTCCTAGCAGGTGTAGTAGAGTCATAGAAATCCAACAGACCCACAGTCATGACATGCATGCTGCTGATTCTGTGTCATTGAATCACTCATTGAAAGGGGCGTGTTCACAATAATAGCCGTGTGGAGTTCTTTTAGTGAGGTCATTCATTCTTTGATAAACAGGTGGCAATTGATTGCCCTTATTTAAGGGAAGGAAGGCAGCAAATGTTGTTGTACATGCTGGTTACAGTGCATTTCTCTCTGAAATTCTGAGGAAAATGGGGTCGTTCCAGACATTGTTCAGAAGAACAGCGTACCTTGATTAAAAAGTTGATTGGAGGGGGAAAACATATAAAGAAGTGCAGAAAATGATCGGCTGCTCAGCTAAAATGATGGCAAATGCTTTAAAATGGCAACCAAAACCTGAAAGACGTGGAAGAAAGCGAAAAAACTACCATTGGAATGGATAGAAGAATAGCCAAAATGGGCGGACTCAGCCAACAATCAGCTCCAGGAAGATGAAAGAAGGTGTGACGTTCCCTGTGAGGACTCAGCCAACAATCAGCTCCAGGAAGATGAAAGAAGGTGTGGCGTTCCCTGTGAGGACTGTTACAATTAGAAGACGCCGATGTGAAGCCAAGCTATCTGCAAGAAGTCCCCGCAAAGTCCCACTGTTGGAGAAAAGACGTGCTGAAGAGGTTACAATCTGCCAAAGAGCACATTGACCGGCCTAAAGAGAAATGGCGCAACATTTTGTGGACTGATGAAAGTAAGATTGTTCTTTTTGGGTCTAGTGGGCGGAGACAGTTTGTCAGACGACCCCCAAACACTGAATTCAAGCCACAGTACACTGTGAAGACTGTGAAGCATGGTGGTGCAAGCATCATGATATGGGGATGTTTCTCATACTACGGTGTTGGGCCTATTTAATCGCATACCAGGGATCATGATCAGTTTGAATCCATCAGAATACTTGAAGAGGTCATGCTGCCTTATGCTGAAGAGGAAATGCCCTTGAAATGGGTGTTCCAACAAAACAACGACCCCAAACACACCAGTAAACGTGCAACATCTTGGTTCCAGACCAACAAGATGGACGTTATGGAGTGGCCCCAGCCCAATCCCCGGATCTTAATCCAATAGAAAAACTTGTGGGGTGACATCAAAAATGCCGTTTCTTGAGGCAAAACCAAGAAATAGAGAAGAACTGTGGAATGTGGTCCAATCATCCTGGGCTGGAATACCTGATCACAGGGGCCAGAAGTTGGGGGACTCCATGCAACACAGATGTACAGCAGTTCTCAGAAACAGTGCGACTACAACCAAATATTCATGAAGTCATTCAAAGGAAAGCAAAATCTTCAAACAATTCTTTTTTTTTTCAAGTATTTATATAGCGCCGTCAATTTACGCAGCCCTTCACACATATATATTGAACATTCACATCAGTCCCTAACCCTCAAGGGGCGCACAATCTAAGGTCCCTAACTCACAATCATACATACACATATTTGGGCCAATTTATAAAGGATCCATTGAACCTACCAGCATGTCTTTGGAGTGTGGGAGGAAACCTGAGTCCCTGGGGGAAACCCACGCAGGCACAGGGAGAACATGCAAACTCCAGGCAGGTGGTGCCATGGCTGGGATTCGAACCGACGACCCGAGTACTGCCAGGCGGAAGTGCTAACCATTTAGCCACTGTGCTGCTCCATGGACACAGGTGTATACAATCAAGCCCCTAGGCATGCAGACTGCTTCTACAAACATTGGTGAAAGAATGGGTCGCTCTCAGGAGCTCAGTGACTCCAAGCGTGGTCCCGTGATAGGTGGCCACCTGGGCAATAAGTCCATCTGTGACATTTCCTGGCTACTAAATATTCCATGCTCAACTGTTAGTGGGATTATAACAAAGTGGAAGCCACTGGGAACAACAGCCACTCAGCCACCAAGTGGTAGGCCACGTCACATGACAGGGCGGGGTCAGTGCATGCTGAAGCGCACAGTGCGCAGAAGTCGCCAACTGTCTGCAGAGTCAATAGCTAAAGACCTCCAGACTTGGTGTGACCTTCAGATGAGCCCAACAGCAGTGCGTAGAGAGCTTCATGGAATGGGTTTCCATGGCCGAGCAGCTGCATCAAAGCCTTCCATCACCAAGTGCAATGCAAAGCGTCGGATGCTGAGGTGTAAAGCACGCCGCCACTGGACTCTAGAGCAAGGGAGATGTATTCTCTGGAGGGACCAATCACACTTCTCTGTCTGTCAATCAGATGGACGTGTCTGGGTTTGGTGGTTACCAGGAGAACGGTACTTGTCTGACTGCATTGTGCCAAGTGTAAAGTTTGGTGGAGGGGAGATTATGGTGGGGGTTGTTTTTCAGGGGTTGGACTTGGTCCCCTAGTTCCAGTGAAGGGAATGAAGTCACACAGAGTACCAACCTTCATAAGTCAGTGTGCCAAAAGACATCGTCCTGTGTACATTGGGAGCTGTGCAACTGGTGCTATTCTGACCACGTGTGTTACCACGTCTGCTATTTCATCATGGACAGCAAGTTGGAACAAAGAGCAAACGTGAAATTCTACATGAAACGGGTAAATCTGCCACAGAGACATCTGACACGATTCAGCAAGTTTAGGCGATGCTGAAACGAGTAATTTGAGGTGTTTTGAGCGGCACGCGCACTTCAAGAGCAGAACATCGCTGGAAGACAACTAGAGATCAGGAAGACCTTCAACGAGCTCAACCCCCAAAAATGTGGAAACCATTCGGCAACTTGTGCATGATGATGGTCAGAGAACAATCCACTGCATTGCTGCCATTGTCGGTGTGTCATATGGGACAGTCCAGGCAATCCTCACATGTGATTTGAACATTCACCATGTTGCTGTCAAGTTCGTCCCCAGGCTTGTGACCCAGAAACAGAAAGAACACCATGTCAAAGTCTGCCAAGAACTCCATCAGCATGCCGTGGATGATCCATCCTTCATGTTGAGGATCATTACCGGTGGTGAAACTTGTGTGTTTGAGAATTTCACATTTGCTCTTTGTTCTAACTTGCTGTCCATGATGAAATGGCAGACATGGTAGCGCACATGGTCAGAATAGCACCAGTTGCACAGCTCCCGATGTACACAGGGAGATGTCTATTGGTGTGGTCAGAATAGCACCAGTTACACAGCTCCCAATGTACACAGGGCAATGTCTATTGGTGTGGTCAGAATGGCACCAGTTACACAGCTCCCAATGTACACAGGGCAATGTCTATTGGTGTGGTCAGAATGGCACCAGTTACACAGCTCCCGATGTACACAGGGAGATGTCTATTGGAGTAGTCAGAATGGCACCAGTAGCTCCTGATGTACACACAGGACAAAGTCTATTGGCGTAGTCAGAACCACACCAGTTACACAGCTCCCGATGTACACAGGGCAATGTCTATTGGCGTGATCGGAATAGCACCAGTTACACAGCTCCCGATGTACACAGGGCTATGTCTATTGGCGTGGTCAGAATAGCACCAGTTGCACAGCTCCCGATGTACACAGGGAGATGTCTATTCAGGAAAGTCAGAAAGGCACCAGTTGCACAGCTCCCGATGTACACAGGACAATGTCTATTGGTGTGGTCAGAATGGCACTAGTAGCTCCTGATGTACACAGGACAATGTCTATTGGTGGTGTGGTCAGAATGGCACTAGTAGCTCCTGATGTACACAGGACAATGTCTATTGGTGTGGTCAGAATGGCACTAGTAGCTCCTGATGTACACAGGGCGATGTCTATTGGTGTGGTCAGAACCACACCAATTACACAGCTCCTGATGTACACAGGGCGATGTCTTTTGGCACATTGACTTATGAAGGTCGGTGCTCCCCTTGACTGTGCGTGTAGCCTTGTGCTGCCATTTGCTGGCGTGTTACAAAACTCTCAAAACCTTATGACCACCTCGTAGATGTAGTAGGTAACTTGGGTGTCCATTGCCATAAAAAAATATTTAAACTCTTGCAGGTCTTGCGTCATGAAAAGATAGGTATATTCTGTTAGTAGCAACCCCGGCCCTGGTGGAGCCAACCCAAGTGTTTCCAGGTTACCTTTAACACTTTAGTGAATACCGGGCTATGCAGTGCAGAGGGGGCTATGCATCACAAGAGTGACAACCATATATACAACTCACGATACATGAGTGTTGTGGTCACTGGGAAGAATGCTGCTTACACTTCTGGTCAGTAGGAAGAATTACCCCCCTTATAGATAACTAAAAAGATCAATGATGTTGGTGGGAACTTTTCTGAGAGACAGGAACCCCTAGCAACCTCTGGAGGAACCCTAGAGTTCAATGGAACCCTTGATAAGAAACCCTGAACTAGACACAACATGAAAAATACACGTTTGGAAGATGTTCTATCTGCTGAAGGAAGTCCTGGTTAGCACACTTGTATGCCTGCCTGAAAATGGTGCCTCTATTGTGTGGACCAGCAGCCACCCATTGAGTCCACTTATTGGCTGGAGAGCACTTCCAACCATTGTTCAGATTCTATGTAACATTTATCAGCAAAACAGACCGCCGGGAAGTTCCTGGAGAGGAATCCACCTTCTTACCGGCTCCTCGCTTTTGTCTCCAGGATCTGGGAACCGGACCAGACTCTCGAGAACTTTACACCATAAGGGGCTATTCTGGGCCATTCTATTAGGGGGCTTTGTGCAGCTCAATGTTGAGACTTACAC